ATACCTTTTTTAATTAAAGAAATGCCAATGTCTTAAAAAAGACTTTTAGTAATGTAGTCGATGAATAATTCAAACAGTATAAATGTGACTTCTTTGTCTTTGCAGTCCATAGCCACTTTAAGTACAGACACTCCAACAGTGCTGCAGTGCTTGCTGCTCAACTATTTTACTTTTTTTAGTTTCTGCTCTTTTTTAAGCTACTATAATCAGATCTGGCATGTCACTTTCTCCTGTTGCCCTGTCGTTTGGCAGTGTTCCTATCTCGTCCTCCCACTCAGTCATTTTAATGCAGCGCAGAAAATGTGCTTGAGTCAGTCAGCAGCCTGCATCAATGCCAGTACTCCAAGTATCACAGTAGATCTATTACCCTTTCAGTCAGCTTGACAGGTGCCTGTTTAGAAAGTGATGATTTAATAACTCCACCTGTGTGCTTTCACATTATAATATGTCTTATTTAAAATGTTACTGCTTAAATCCATGGTAGTTCAAAATAGTGAGACTCGTATTTGTTGATACCGGCTTTTCTTGGGATGTTTTTAAAGACGGAACCATAAGTACACGGTGAATTTTTAATGGAGAAGTAATTGACACTGTTTGTTTGTTTTTCTCAGTATTAATAAAATACTTTACTCTTATCTGGCTGTATGTGATCCCTTTAGCCAGTAGATGGAGATATATCAATGAGGCAAGAGACCAAAAGCTTATGAGCACGCTGCTGTTAACTAATTATCAATATTTTACCTCTTGTTTCTAGCCAGTGCATTTTTTTGCTCAGTAAATAAATCTAACTTAATCAGAACAAGAAAACACCTCAATTATGAGTAAACTATGTATATATTTTAGCACTAAAAAGCTCCACAGACTGTCTGTGAGTGTATGACTGTCCATCAAAAAGACTTCATGGATCAGTGTTTCACTATAAACCTAAGTGAGAGTTTTCTGGGAGTTTTTATCTTCCTGTCTAGCATCCATCACTACTTTGCTTAGACCTCTGTTATGATGACTTCATGTAGTCTTTATCTCAAACCAACCACCACCTGAGTAGATATCTAATCAGAGCCAATGAAATGAGCATACGGGGACAGGATACACAGTGGCACAGTTATTCACTAATCCAATTACAAGAGGAACATTTGTTGCTAAAAAGCCCAAAAGAATGAGGAATACAAAGGGGTCTTTATCCAAGGAAATATTTTTAACTAGAACAGGAGGCTTTTGGCACATGTCTAGTTTACTGTTGCAAGAGAAATGCTATTAACACTGGTATTAATGTCACAGTCTGCAGCCTAAAATGCCCATTCCTGAATAAGAGCATGACCAACCCACGCTTTGGATTGTCTCATCCCCTGCATGGAAGTCACAAAGGGTCAAGAAAAAGGTCACCAAGCATTCATTCAGTCTTCATCCTTCCAAGTCTTTTCTCTTTTAAAATGAAAAGACAGATCGTTCATTGTTGAATCCCTCTAGAAGAAAATCTTTTCACTTTTTCCTTTTGCACAAAGCACTGGTCCTGGAGTCCATCTTACGCACAGTAACAAACTTTGACAAGATCCGTGTGCAGTTTTCACTACACATGTCAGAAACAATAAATGATAAGAAAACTACTTAACAGTCAGGGCGGCTCTTTTCTGTTTTTATAACATTAAAAACATTTTTCAGTTGCTGCAGATTTGTCGGCTGCACATCCATGAAACAAAACTCTTGCTCAACCACATTCCAAAGGTGCTCTATTGGAAAAAGATCTGGTGACTTTGAAGGCCATTTGGGTACACTGACCTCGTCATGTTCAAGAAATCAGTTTGAGATGATTTGAGCTTTGTAACACAGCACAATATCTGGAAAGCAGCCATGAGAATATGGGTATACACTGGGGTTGGATATGGCCAGCAACAATACTCAGGTAGGCTGTGGCATTTAAATGAAAGGGGTTCAAAAAGAGAACCAGGAAAATATCCTCCATACCGTTATACCATCAGCAGCCTGAACTGTTGATCCAGGCAGGATGGGGTCATGTTTTCATGTTATTTACACCAAATTCTGACTGTACCATCTGAATGTTGCAGCAGAAATCGAGACTCAGACCAGGCAATATTTTTCCAATCTTCTATTGTCTGATTTTGGTGAGCTCAGTTTGCTGCTCTTAGCTGACAGGAGTGGGAGCTGGTGTGGTCTTCTGCTGCTGTAGCCCATCTTCAAGGTCTGTTGTGTGGTCAGAGATGCTGTTCTGTACACCTTGATTGTAATGAGTAGTTATTTAAGCTACTGTTGCCTTCCTACTAGCTCAAAGCAGTCTGGCAATTCTCCTCTGAACTCATTTTCAAAGCACGTGTGCACATGTTTTTGTATATACAACATATGTTACTAAAAAGACAGGGCTTGATGACATGATTGGTTGAAATCTTCTTTCATAAGCTGTCCTAGTAAGAACAGTAGAAGCATAGGACTCAAACCTACTCCTGCTTTCAAAAATCTGATTTTTGATACTGCCCAAGAGTTATTTGAAGAAACAGTAAAAACTCAGTAAAAAAAAAAGACTGCTATTTAAAGGCATGCATATTTTAACTTGTCCCAGGTTTAGGCACCGGCAACTGTTGCTTCAAGTGGTTGATCAAGTGATAGATTCAGTCATGAGTGAATAAACGATGGTGCTGTCTAACAGACCACAGCCCTCAACAGGTGAGATTTCACCAAGTGACAGATGATTCTCTGCTTCAAAGTTGTGAATCTCGGATGGAACGTTCAATATAGAAAGTTATTTACTTCTTGCTATTGAACATCCATCAATGTGACATTTATTTCCCTCCTGCAGAATGTAAAGTATATTTGTGTGGTGTCATCAGGGTGACAGAAAACAAACTTTCTAGTGTAGGTGGGGAAAGAGAAACTGAGATGAGAGCACGCAGCATCTCCAGTTCATGATATAAATGTAAATACACCAGAACAACTCACAGCATGGAGTCAAACACATTTTTAAAGCTGAAAATCCTCAAGTGACATTAGTATGAATAAAACCCAAACATTACTTTTTAAATATTCTAATGTTTGGTTCTCTTTTCTGGTTAACATAAGACATTTTGATTTTTTTTTGCCACTTAAATATTCCTAGTGGAATATTTAAGTGGCAAATATTCCTAGTGGAATATTTAAGTGGCGAAAAGCTCATTTTCCACCTCCTTTCGCTGCTTTTGAAGAATAGACTTCTAAATGAAAATGCCAGGGCTTAACTCACACTGACTTCAAATGAGGACTATTTACTGCAGCAGTGGTCGTCTGAGCTCCTGCATCAGCTGGAAATCATATCTTCTAATTGCAGATGTCATCTGTTTCCTGTGAGATATGACCCATAAAAGCAGAATGTTAAGCACGGGGAGTTTCAACCACTGGTGTGTTTGAAATGAAAAAGGACAATTTATACTCCTACTTATTAACCTCTCTGGCCTGCCCGTGTAATTCAAGCGCTCAGCACAGGAGGATGAGGGTGTCCACTGAGGACAATAGGACACCGGGTAAGAAATCGAGATGACTTCCACTTATACACCTGAGACCTCGTCTCATCTGCCTCGCCTTGATATGTCCCGATTAACTCCCTCGTATTCATTACTAAGCATCGGCTAAAGACGAACACTGTAACCTTGCAACATGATGAATTAAAGCAAATGTCAGCGCTGTGCAGAGTTAGAAACCTTTAGTTCGTCAGCTGCAGTTTACTCGAGGTAACGCTGCAGCCCCTCAGGGCTTCTGTGTTGTGAATGGCTGGAAAATAAACTCTAGTCAAACATCCATCTGCTGAGCTCAAATTCTTTACCAGATGCACTCACTTTTTGAATCATCTGCCCAATGGCTACGGCCATGTCTACGGGACCATGGTGAGTGATTCAGACAGCAGCAGATGGGAGGTTGTTAACGTACACCCCCGCCCCTCTAGACACACAAGTCCTCAGTCTCTTTGTTGTGACCCCCATCGTCTACATTATAAGAGTGAGGGGACCTTGAGGCATAAAGTCATGACTTCATTAGCTGTGATGCTCGCTTCCATTAAAAGGCACTCTTAAGCATGTTTCAAGGGCTTTTGCTGGCTTTGAAACATTAAGACACATTCAAAATGAGACATTTTATGGTCCCCTCTCTTGGTTTAGACAATGCCTAGTATGATTGTATATTGATTTTGTGGCTTATGCTAACATGGGCACTTATCCAAAAGCCTTTTTAGAACCACGTGACACACACAGACATGAAAACCTTTAATTAATAAAGTCAAACCTTATGGAAAATCGATTTAGTCTAAATGAAATGAAAGTCTACTGATTTTTTTTGAATGCCAGAAAGGTTGCAAAGGTCCAGTCGGAAATCAAAGGCACATCACTTTTGTTCCTTTTTTTTTATTTTTTTTTTTATCTTGCGTGGGTGCATTTGAATTCATTTGAAATGATAATGAAGTGACATTTTAGAAGTGAAATAGCTTCTAATAAAGTGTCTCCATCTGTAGAGTAACAATAAAAATCGGAGGCGCAGTTAGATTTCATCCCTGAGGGTAACAGTTGTGCAGCCAAGAACATTGTGTGAAAATGAGACACTTGCACAGACAGTAAATAAAATGGTTTGAAAGGCCTTGTTTGTTCTCCATGATACATCTGATAGACCAATCAGCACGTCTGTCACCGAGCTGTCATGTCATGCAGAGTTTTATGTGACGTTATTGTAAGGAGTTTTTGTGACAAGGGACTGCATCTTCACTAAAAACTGACACATTAAGATGCCATTGCATTTGTCTCACTTTCTGATATCAGTCTGATAAATCAGCACATAGCCGCTCTCATCTCTTCCAGTGTGAATTTACACCTACATGAAAGTGCACTGCTTTTTCTTTGTAACACCTCAGACTTGTAAAAACTGAATGTTGGGGTGCAATCACACTTCTCTTTGGTCTGAACTACAAGTGAAAATTTTACTTCTTTTTTTTTTTTACAATTGGGAAAAATTCACACAGCCTAAATAGATTGAAAAAAAAAAAAACATTCACAACACTTCACACCATAGCTTGTTAACTGGATTTTAATTACATTACATCCCACGAGGTTGGAGAGTTTGGCAAGAGAAAGGCTATGAAACAGTCTCTGCATTGTACCTTCAGCTGTTTTTAAAACCCAGTTTTAAACATACAAGTAAAAAATAAATAAATTATGAAGCAAGTCTTTAATAGATTGTTTTCCAGAGTATTCCGATTCAAATTTAAGGCATCTTCACAGGCAAAATTCACTGTACAGATTAAATGGCATCATTGTAGTTAATCCAATTTAACTACAGCAATAAATTCAAACATATGATTATAATGTAAGTGGAAGTGAAAGCACATTTGTAATTAAGACACTTTAATCTTTTACAAAGTACAAATACCCATAAGAACGACATGGATCCAGTTAGTGTTCGTCCATACAACCCGTGTCAATCATCCGCCTTTAAAGGGGCGACAGGATTAAAAAGTGGTCTCTCCCTACGGAGCTGTAGTTTTCCAAAGCTCATCTCAAAGTCCTTCTTAGTGCCATTTAGCACCTCCAGACTACCTGTCCTTATGTCATAACCTCGAGCCTTCAGTTGCTGGACACGATAATTTACTATTTGCGTGGTTAGTTCTAGGACAGTTGGAGTCGCTGTGATTTGACACATGCTGATTCCAGCACTGAGAAGACCCTCAAAACGTTCAGCCAGAGTAGATTCAGGGTAGTACAGAAGAGCTGGGCACCTGAGGATGATGTCCCGCAGCTCTGTCTCAGAGCACCCAATGGTGTCTTGAGAGTACAGCAGAGTGCGACGCATACTGTCTGGGTTCAGCTCAGTCACAAAGCCCTTCAGCCTGGACAGCAGGTGGAGCAGCTGGGGTGTGCTGAAGCCCTTGTCTCTCAGAAAAAGGAAGTTCTCCCTCAGCACCTCTGGAGGCTTGAGAAGAACAAACGGGTTCTGACTCAGCAACTTCTGAAGCCAGATTTTCATGTTAGCTTCCTCCCCTCCGAGCTCCTGGTAGGCCTGTTGGAGAGTGTGGACCATCAGCTCGTTCTGCTCTACTGGCCGGCTGAAGCTTTGAGGAGCGCTGGCCATGAGTTTGGTGATGACTCGTTTGTTCAGGTTTAAACTCTGGAAGTAGGAGATGTTGTTTCGCTGGTTGTCATGGTGACTGGAGGAGGTGAAAAATGAGGCTGGGAATTTCTCAATGACACCAACCAGCTCCCTCTGGTTTGGACACACAGACATCCACAGCTCTTTTTGAGTGTAAATCTGCTCAGGATTACAGAGGACAGCCTCAGGATGACTTGTTAAAATATGAGCAATGATGGGGCCCGAGGCCCCCATGTTCTTTAGGAGTTCAGCTACTTCTTTTGTATAGGCTGGACTCTGAAGCAGCACCCATCCTTTAAGTTTCCGGACCTTCTGGATGTCCACAGATAGATCATAAAGAGCTTCTACAGTCTGCTGGTTCTCTGCTACACTATGTGTCGCACGTGATCTGAGGTGTAAAGGTAGAGCTGTGACAGGTTGGCACCGGAGGCACAGGAATGTCGCGATCGAACGCAGCATTGATGCAAATTCCTAACACCAATCCCCTAAACACAAGGAGGAAAAGAAAATACAGAAGTAACCAGAGCACACAGACCAATCCTTACATTTATTTAACGCTTGTGGTCACCCTTGCTCTGTGAGGTTTTGCCCATCATGACAGCAGAACAACATTAATGTTTTACTAACTCCAGAAATTTTAAGCGAATAAAACCAAGGTCCAGACACGCAGAGCTGGGGGATATTTCTAAAGCACAACCTGTATTGATTCATCTACCTTTATTATTTCTAAACTGACACACTTTAAATCTTTCATCTCATTTTGTACCATCATCTTCCAGCTCTGACTCCACTGCTTCATGCTCCTTTAGTTAATGTCACTCATCCTATCTTTGCATGCATAACAGAGGCTTTTTATCGGAACTTAATGGCCTCTCTGTACAGCTGCTGCCATATGTTTCATAGGGGAAAAGCAAGAGCCAACTCGATTACCTGACACTGTTGACGACTATTTGTAGATAGCATCTTTGAAAGCAGCCTGTTATTACTCAAAGCTTTTTATTTCAGCACTGTAAATAAACATGTTCGTTACATCGTCACAGAGGCTGCTTGTATGACTGACGGCATTTATTTGACCATGTCAAAATACAACCCTTCTTGCACTGACCCGAGCATTTTCATTTGAAGAGTCATGCCGGGTACAGAGCGTGCCAGCGGAGCTAACAACTATGCGAGATAGTCTCAATATACAGCTGACAGCTCATTTACTATAATATTTATTCATTCTTGCTGACAAAAGATGTATACATTTTAGAAACACTGGGGAAACCTTTGCAAAACAAAAATGAATTACCTTTGTTAGCGGTCAGAGGATGTGACGTTTTGTTATGAAACCGATTCCTTCGTCTACACTTTGTGTTGTGTGGTGTTCCACAGCGACACCCACAGGCCCTGACTGGTACTGCAAGCAAGCCAGCTACCTGTAAACTCAACTGACCCTTAAATAGAAAAATTATTTTACAGACAGAATGCAGAGAGGTCGATGTAGAAGTGTGTTATTTTATTTGATATACCAATTTGCCCAACTTCTCTGTTTTTTAAAGCAGCACTCTTTTTATTGCAGCCCATATGTCTGATAATGAAATAATTTTGACAAAAATCTGTATTTCAAACAGCAGTTGGTGCTCTTTCAAAACCCTGCAGCATACGGGGCCCTGATGAGTGTAATCAGTGCCGGGCTGAATTGGACTGAATGCACGGAGAGTTTCCTCGCAGTTGGTGCTTAATCACGATGCTTGATCACCAGCTCTGCAAGCTGTTCCATATAGTAGCACAGGAACTGCTGCTGCTGCTGCTGCTGAGTGAGTATCTGGGTTCATTATAGTTTATATAATAGTAAACAGATGATACGTCTCAAAGGAAAAGAGGTCAGTGCTTTTGTTAAAAAAAAGAAAGGAAAAAAAAGATCCTTTTCAGATCCTGTTCTAATCTGTCCATCTTTGAGATGATTGTTTCTGTACATGATCACTGATTTAAAAATGAGCCTCATAAACAAGTCAAGTAAAACTAACATTAAAACACTTATTGGTTCTAGTCCGTGCGTAGCAGCCTGTGATTGCTTTTATTGGCAGAGGAACAGTAGTCACCGCAGGAATCAACATATGCACATTCATTATCTATAGCAGTAGCACAGTTACACACACAGAGGCAGACTCTCGAAATCACAAGAACTGTCATCATTCTTATTTCAAACATTGTTATAATTAACGCTGTTACTGCTGCATGTAAAGCAAGGTTGAAGTTAATATTCACTGAAGAAAAAAAAAATGTAGATATATAAAATACATAATGTCTTAAAGTGTCAAGAGATTCCATGTAAATTTAAGGAGCTTTTAAATTAAAAATTCACATTTAAATAAAAAAAAACTACTCGATCAGTTGTTTGTTTGCTTTTAATATTTGTTTTTTGCTAATGAATTACACTCTAAATAAGTGTGTGAACTCCCCCACAGCTCATGCTGGTTTCTTATTGCTTTTATATATGACTTTATTGGTCTCTCACATGATTTTAAAGCAATTTTGGTCCACTTTTTGTTCTAACATTGCTTTCGTTCATTGAGGTTTGGAGGTCTTTGTTTATGCACTCAAGGTCTCATCGCAGCATCTGTGCTTGAGATCATTTTCCTGTTGTATAACATAATTTCCCTGTCAGGTGGCTTCACATTTGAATCTTCAATGCAGGTAAACAAAAGAGGTCACGGTCAGCTTCATGACTGCAGGTGCTCAGGTCCTGTGGCTGCAAAACAAACCTACTCCTTCACCACAGCGCTTCACATTTGGTATGAGGTGTTTTTGCTTATATCCTGTGATTGGTTTTCATCAGCTGTAGTATGCTGCATTTTGTCCATAGTACATAATTCATAATTCTTCTAATTCTAAAGTTTTATGGTTTGTTGAGATCCAACTTTGTAAATCCAAGCTGTGCTCCCATCTTCTTTTGGGAGAGGCTTTTTCTTAGTAAGCATTCCAAACAGACGCATTTCTTGTGTTTGTCTAACTTTACCTTCATAAAATGTAACATTCAATATTGCTAACTGAGGCCTGTTCTGTCTGAGATGTAGCTCTTGGGTTTTTTTGCAATTTCACTGCATATTATTTCTGACCTTGGGGTGAATTTGCTGGGATGTCCACTTTTGGGAAGACTGGCAGCTGTCTTGAATGTTTTGCACTGGTGAATAATTTTTCTCACTGTAGAATGATGAATTGGAAATGGCCTTCTAACCCTTCCCAGATTGATGGGCAGCACAGTTGCTTCTGTAATATCATTTCTGATGTTTTTCCTCTTTGGCATTGCATTAAAACACACCTGAATGCTTCACACCAGCAAACTGCCAGAACCTCTGCTTTTATGGAGGTGGCCACGATTGCTGAAATTTCGGTTAATCAAATGCATTTGATTAGCAGCACCTGGCTGGTACTTAATTCCTATGTAAGCACTAAGGGTGTACTTGTATCGTCTGTTTTGATGATTTATTTTTTCTGCTTCCTGTGGAGGGGTGATCTGGGGCATGTGGCCCTCTTTTACCCACATCTGCAAGCCCATTTATTCATTATTATGTGGACTTTCTGAGTTTCATCAGTAAATATGTAAAAATGGCTTCTCGAGCATGTTTTACAGCATCGACTGCAGGGTCTAATTTGTGATGAATGCATTGAACGGCAGTCATGTTAGGGCTTTTTACACAGGAGTGTAGCTGTACCATTAGTTGCAAAGCCAACAAACTGTGTACCTCTCTTTAGAGACACCTTTCATAGCATGGCTTTATAGCAGAATGTAACAGACAACAACCTTGTTGTGTAACTGCAAATCAGCAAGTTGAAATAAGAAGCTCCATAACTCAACTGATGTAACTGGTGCGTGACTTGGCAAGACCTAAAACATAAATATATTGCAACATATTTGATGTGATTCTATCGGTTACAAATAGACTAGCTCTTAATCATAGACTTGCATCTCTGCCAGATCGCCTAATGGGACTCAAGTCAGTATGTTTTACTGACCTATCCAACTTATCCAATGAATCCATCTTGACCAAGTCCTCTTATTAGACCAACAACTAACCTGTTTCCTGTGCAGATATGTGGTTTCCCCCTTATCTGTTTGCCCTCTCTCCTCAACATACTGCAATTTCTGGCAGTAAAAACCTGTGAAAATGAAAGAAAGATATCCAAGAGAATGACTACTTTGTTACAAGAAGAACATGCAGATTTTACATAGCATGCACGAAGATAAGATCTGTCCTTGTTTATGTTACCTTTACAGTGTTGCAAAACAGAAAATCCGCTTCATATTACAGTATGCTGCTAATGTTAAGCAAGTATTTACCCAAGGACCCAACATCAGAGAGAAGTATTGATTTTCATAGTTGTACTATTAATCAGCTATAAAGAGCTCAGCATTCATAGAATGAGAAAGTGGAGTAATACGATGAGCTGTGACCTGTTGTTTTATGGCAGGTCAAAGTCAGTATTATTATTAATTAGTCTGGTGCCATATTAAACAACTGGGCAGAAGGCTGGCGAAGTAAATAAGCCGAACAGTTTATTATTGACAGATTTAAAATCTTTTACAGCTACCAAAAAAATAGTTCACACAAGACACAGACAGTTACTTTATAATCAAACTGCAATATTTCAAGGCTTCTAGTAACACTGATAAGGACGCCGTCTTCTATTCACATTCATATTGTAAATGTACTGTCAATGTCCCTTAGCTTGATATAACAGGAGACAGCTTTTGTGTCTTGTACAAATTCCTCAGTTGTTGCATTATTAAACTGATAAAGCAACGGATGAATAATTTGTGTCCTCTCACAGTGACAAAAATAAACAAATAAGTAAAAGTGACAGTGCAATATACCAGAAACATAACCTAATACAAGTTTTCTAATGCAGATTTAGTTCAGATTAGTCCACTCACTCAATATCATGATGATGGTAAACAAAACTTGAACTGCATGCATTTACAAATGTGCAATCAAGCTTGCATGGAGGAAGAAGGGTTTATCTCACAGATACACAAAGATGCATGATGAGTGATGTAACCTGGAGTAATGCAGTCTTTCAGCATCAGACTTTTTCCAGGCCGTCTTCTGGAGCTAATCAGACCCCAGCTTATGTCCCAGCAGCAGGTATCAATGGATTCAATTCAGTTTTATTTATTTCACATCAAATCACAACAACAGCTGCCTAAAGGCGCTTAATCTGTCTTCATAATCCAAACCTACCTGGTGGCTTTCTCTATGGCTTCAGTAGTGGATCTATCAGATCTCTTTTTATCTTGTCCAGTGATGCCTTGTACTTTGCGCCCTGTAAAACCTCACCAGCTCACCCTCACAGGCTTGCAAGCTTCCAAGCTTACAGGCTTAGTGGTACTTACACCTAGTACCTAGGAACTTGGCATGATTTTGTTTGCTTCATCCATTTGATCTTTCCAGTTGTTGGCAGTGGTAAGGCTAGCTTTTGGAAAGATGTTAGAAAATGAGATTTTCTGCTGTAGTACATTTTCCCTTCTCATTGGAGCTCATTGCGATCACATCCCCACCATCATACTGGTTCAAAGTTCCCCCACACCCGCTTGCACACACATCTGAATAAGGTGTTGCTGATCTTTGTCCTTGGTGTCGTTGACCCTGGTTGAGGGAAATAGGTCTTATAAAAGAGAAAGGAGAAGCAGACCATTTTGACTAAGTGGACCACACCTAAAAATAATTATCTCATAATCTCTGGAATCTCAAGGAGTTCAAAAAAATAATTAATTTACAATAAAATAACATTGTAAAACCAGGCTGGGCCAGGAACAACTAAAGAGTTTAAAAGACTAAGTAACATAAAAAGAGTTCTAAAACAGTATATATACAGAAAACCCCCACAAAACTAAAAGATTTTGCAGTAAAGTGCCTCCAAAGCCCTAAAAGAGAGCTACAAGTCCAATAAAAAAAAGTCCCCTGTCATCCCTCATCCCTCATGTACCTGTTTGTCTTCTGTCCACGCTGTGTGCACTGCATGCTGACCTGTGAGTGAAGGTCAGCATGCAGTGCTGAGTCACTCAGTCAGTGCTGAGTAAACACCAATCCTTCTTTAGTACTATGAAGGGTCAAAGAGAGATCCTTTGCCCACGGGTGATCCTCACTTTACTGTCACAATACAACAAGGGCTAAGATGCTGTCTGTCTGCCTCCTGCTCTCACTACAGTCTCTCTCTCTTGAAAAACCAAGACCACTATGCCCTCCCTCTGCCAGATTTCGAAATATCTGTCCAGATATCTGTCCTCTGTCTGTTGTAGCTTGCTCCAACAGGTCACTCTTTAATCCCCCTGGCCTGGTCTGCTGTGGCTCTCTCCTGCTGTTGGCTTGTCTCTATTATTAAGAAAGTTTAACAGAGCAGGTGTGTCGTATTGCCTTTAACTTGGGAGACTTCAATGTGAACTGAAATCCCAAGTAATTCCCCAAATAAAAGCATGCAAATAAAAAGTGAAAAAACAAACAAACATGCAAAGCATAAAACAATCAAAAACCATTAGTAAAAAAAATCCCATCACAGCTCTCGTAACTATTTCCTAATAATAGCATGATGAAAAGTTTCAGTGTGACTCGTGAAAAGATACTGTAGCAACTTTGTGGATAATTTATAATGCATAAAGTCGTACAGTTGTTCATGTTTAAGTTAATGTGTCAAGTGCAGTGTTAGAACGGGTACTGCAGGCTCGTGTTGTTGGTGCTTTGTTTAATTCAATGTAGTTCAATTCACTTTTATTTATATAGCACCAAATCACAACAACAGCTGCCTCAACTCATGTTATATTATCAGGTAAATACCTTCCGATATTAAAAACCAAACTCCAACAATCAGACAGAATTCTATGAGTAGCTGTAACATGTGGAAGGAAAATCCTTTTAAAACGAAGGACCCTCCAGCAGAAACAGGCAGAACTTTGCTGTTGTTCATTTATAACCTGATCTCCAACGTTATGACTGAGGATGATTTTGGCTTGTGGCAGCCCACCATGGCTGAAGCTGCTTAGGCAATTAGTGTCCCTGACCTAGGGCCGTGCAATATCATATAATCTGCAATAATCCCATTACAAATTTGAAACGATATAAAAATGTAATATTGTGACTTCAATGTGATAGCAACACCACCAACACCATTTACATCCCCTAATGCAGGGGTGTCAAACTCAATTGCACAGGGGGCCAAAACTCAAAGCACACTTTAGGTCGCGGGCCAAACAAGATAAACATTTATTGAACACACTAAAACAATGTTTTTTAAACATAAATATGAATAAAAACAGACAGGAATATTATTCCAGAATAAATAAACTTAAAAAAATAAACTTTCATAAACAGAAGTTTGACTTGATTGACACGGGAATGTTCCCAGTTAGCCTAGCGTTCAGCAAGGAGGCTGCAGCGCTGCATTATGGGATCTGTAGTTTGTATATTATTAGCGCCTCATATCGCCGGGCCATGCATAACAATAATAGTACATCTATATAAAATGATCTCGTGGGTCGGATATAAATGTACGCCGGGCCGGATGTGGCCCGCGGGCCTTGACTTTGACACATGTGCCCTAATGCATGCAACAAGACAATCACAAAAGCTGTGTGTCAGCATCCATTGATGACTGAGTACTTAAAATGGGACCTACTTCAACAGCCTTCAAGAAACCACAGGGCTTTGCAATATATGCAAAAAAAGAATTCCAGATAATGGTGGAAACTACTAACTTGTTTCACCATTTGAAGTAAAATTACATTTTTGAGTACAGCCAGGGTATGGGAGAAGGGATACTAGCAGTTGGTGATAAGAGACCCAAATGTAAACAGATAACTACAGTCATTATCACTGGAGTTCTTGTTAGTTGCACTTGCTATTTGCATTGACTAGTTGCACTCTAAATGAAAACAAGCAATGGATGGAAATTATCAATGCGGTTATTTGGTGGGAAAGCAGGGCTTTAGGTAACTGGTTAAAAAGCTCAACTCAAAATATAACATCGTAAGTAGATTAAAAAAAAATTATTTCCTTATGGAGGTCTTGAAGAGTTACAAGCTTAAGTTTCTTTAGTTATTATTGGACTAAAGCAGTCATAGTCTTTTGCTATGTGCTCAAAACTATAGTCAGCATTAATGCCTTTCACTAGCCTTTTATTAAGTGTTATTTGATAACTGGATGCCTTTGCTTTACCTGTGAATATCACAACACTCCGAGATATTTTGTAAAAGTGACTCTCATAACAGCCAGCAGCACTGCTGACATAGCAGTTGTGGAAAATGAAGCATCAGTGTTGGGTTGTGTTCCAGGAAGTGTACAGCGGTTGTTCTAAGAAATAGTTAAGTGCAGAGACCGCGCTGCATTTTCTGTCACCTTTAAAATGATGTCAGCTTCTCCAGTTTGATTTTGTAAATCTTTGAGTGCCCAGTCACTGGATATGTATCAAGTCTATATTTTCTGTATAATTTCTGAAACAATTATGCATTCAGAGACGAATACTATTGTTTTATTAAGGACTATCATCATAAAAGCGCACACACACACACACACACACACACACACACACACACACACACACACACACACACACACACACACACACACACACACCACCCCCCTACTACCTGTTCTGCAGCTGCTGTAAGCAGAACAAAAGTGGCAAACCACAATGAAGAAGCCGTTCAGTGATCGCAATTTCCATTCACTCAGACACAACATGACCTGCTTCAGGTTTATAGAGCTCCTGCTTTTCCTCCTCTTCAGCAATGTCTACAGTGAGGAGTCAGAACCCATTTTCAAGGCAGAGCGCGAAGTTATCCAGCTGGGTAATTGTTTCGCAATGGATTATATTATTGTTTATAGATCTGCTTCAGAGGGAGACCAACTGCTTGGCAACTCTTCAAACAAGAACATGCCCAACACACCACCTGCAGACCTACAGGGTCGTACCCACATCAGTGACGATCCCAGCCTGCTCGGGTTTCAAATCAGTAACCTCACTCTCTTGGACTCTGGGATTTATAGGAGGGAATGTTGGAAGAACCAGACGATAATCAGCCAGAAGACACAGCAGCTCACTGTGTGTAAGGAGCAGATTGAATCTGAAGACATAATTGTAAGTAAAGACGGTAAAGGGACTGAGATCTTGTGCAATAACAATGCTATTGGCTCTGAGGGAACATCTGTACGCTGGTACCATGAAATGTATCCGTCTTATGAGCCCACACTCTTCCTGGATAGCAGTGTTTCGCTGAAGCCTCTGGTGAAGGAGCTTGCAGGTGTGGTAGATGTAAGAGACAACGGTGCATTGCTTGTGTTCAACAACATGTTACAGAAAACCACACACTTTAAGTGTGTTGTGATGAAAGGTATCAGCTGTCTTAGTTTCCAAACCATGCACCCACCAGATGAGAGTGAAAGCAAGGACATTTTTGTCTCACTGGGGGACAGAGTGCTTCTAAATTGTTCTATTGATGAGGGTGACCAGGTGTGGGAAACTCCACTGGGAAGAATTGATGGTAACACGAGGGGCAGTCCAATGTACATATCAGCTGATGACTTCTCACTGGTTATACCTGCCATCTTTGCAGACTACATTGGAGACTATTCATGCATCTCCCCTTCACGTGAGATGCATTATGCATTGTTTCTTTGCCCCAGCGAATCTGTTGTTTATCAAGTTGTTGGTCAAGGTGAAAATGTCTTGCTCGTGTGCAATATTAACCAAGATGATCCAAAAAGAGTGCAGTGGCACCGCTATGGACTTACAGGGCACTATGAGATCATCCACAACTCGCAGGACAAAACTGTTCCCATCCCTAAAGATCTACGAGGCAGAGTGACTCTATCTGAGGATGGGACTTTGCTGACCATCAACGACCTGAAGGTGAAGGATGGAGGGAAGTACATATGTGCTGTTTTAAAATACAGTGAGATGACTTCTACGGATGATGATATAGATAATGATGGAAAAGGTACCAGAGAAAACGAAACCAGCAATAAACACCTGTGGATCAATCCACCAATATGCATTTTTAAGCAGGAGATAAGTCTGATCATATTAGTCAACAGTGCCAGTAATGCTACTGCATATGCTCTGGGGGCAGGACTGGTGGTGCTGCTGGTGGTAGTTGGAGTCATTGTTACAGTGATAGTAATAAAGAAAAAAGCAAAGCCTTTGCCATTGCAGAGAAAAGTGACATCAAATGTAAAAATGGATATAGATCCTGGCTGTACTGAGAAGTTAACTCTGTCTAGTGCTTAATAGCCTTTGTAAAATAGCTCCATTGTGACTTAACATCCACCTGACACATGTTGTGCTGTAGAATCTGTAGATAAATTAAATGTGTTGCTATTTTCACCTGTTGTATACCATGAGAAGACTGTTTTAGACATTTTTTTAACTTAATGTAATGTAAGAACATCGATCAGATCATTGCGATGAAAGAATTAAAGGCAGCTAATTTGTTGGTTACATTAGCACTATAGTCTGAAATCATTCATAATAAATATATTAATAATGATATACTACTAATAAATAATGAAACAACACACCAAGGACTTTATAGTACGACCCTCCAGTGTTCTTAAACAATTCACATTTCTGCACTTCTAAATTCTGTCTCGTTTCTCATCTCATTTGTTGCAGTGAGGAACTTCACTTGTTTAACTTGCAGCCATCACCTCACTGTCACTTTTAGCAATGTTGGCTACTACATTGTACACTCAAAAAAATAACCCTTTAAATGAACATAAAAAAATCATGGAAAGAATTTCCACGTGATTAAATTGCTTTATTTTAGCATTATGCAATTCTGTTACTCCAACTTAATGCACTCAAGTTGGACCAACTTAATTAAAGATTGATGAATCAA